TAGCTGGAGATATCTGCTCTTTGCGACTAGCAGTGATCTTTTACCAAGAATGTAGGCTGACTGCACGTATTCCCGAGCCAAAAACCATAAACAAGCTGGTTTCTCCCCCATCTTTTGGGAGTAGTTTCCTCAGAGCTCCCAAGAGGTTGTCTCCCGGCCCACAGTCTTCAGTAAGGTCCCTGAATAAAACTCAAAACCCTTAGATTGTCCATTTTTCTTTAAGCTGGTGCCTTCCTACACTCTCCTTGCTCCCACCACCAGATCTCCTGAAGGTCTTGCATATGCAGCCTCCACTTCTTCTCTATCCCACCTGCTAAGCCCCTTCCTCTGGCTCCTGGTCCCTCCATTCAAGCAATACTACTCTACCACTGACTTCCTGATGGCTGGTCCCAGAGGCCCTGGCTCAGCCTTCACCTTTTTTTAAATGTTAAATTTTAATTTTTTTAATGGTGCTGCACATTTAACAGGGATCTTGAAATTCCCTCCCTTGGGTCCCAGGACCCAGCACTATCCTGTTCTTGGTCTTTCCCACTTTCTCCCCTTCCTGATCTTCCTCTCCCTGATTGTTCAATGCAGACATCTTAAAAGACTCTGCTGTCATCCCTCAGCCTTTTCACCTTTCTGTTTTCTCTTACTCAGAAGTCACTCATCACCTGGGCTTCCTGTTGTCTCCTCCAAGGCAGTGAAGAACTTCCAACTCTCTATTCTGCCCTGTTTTCCCAACAGGTCTTACATTTTCAATGCCTTCTGGCCATTTCCCCTCAACCACACCCCCAGCCCCAGATTCACAGTCCTAAAATCCGACTTTCCTGTCTTTGTTAACGTTATCAACATTATCCACGTTGGCCAGGTTCTAAACCCCAAGATCATCTCCACCCACAATGTAAAAGGGGTCACTATGACTTACAAAATTCTCCCCTGCAAAGTCTCTCGTATTTATCTTTCCTCCCCATTTTAACCTCCACCATCACCTTAGCTCAGCTCTTTCTTCTCACTCCTAAAAAACTGCAATTGCTTTTACCTGATCTTCTTACCCCTGAACTGTCCTTTCCAATCCACCCTGCACCTGTTGGGAGACAATTCTGCTTGACTATCTCCTAGTCCTGCACTGTCTTGGATGTCTGAGCACAGGCATTTACAGATAATTTAAGAATATTTATGTAAGGAGACATTCCAGGGAAGTAGAGCTTAGAGACATCTCCCTCCTGAGAAAAAGACCTTGCCTCCTCGTCCCCAGAGAAGATTTGTTTTCATGCCTGAGTAAAGATACAGTCTCTCTCCAGAGAGAAGTACGAGCAGGTCACTAGCAGCTCCATATAAGAAAGGAGCCTAATTTGGGTGTTTTCTCCTGTAATGCACCCCCAGCATGCGCAGGTTATCATCTGGCCCTCACTGTATTGCCCTGTGGAGCTTGGGGAATCAACCAGGCTAACTTGTTTAACTTGTAAGAAGGGTAAAATCTCAGACCCCTTACAGTTTGACTTACACCACCACCAAGCTATCTTTTGAAAGATCTACGTTGGCCATACTTCCTTGCTTGAAACCCTTCAATGGCTCCCTACCACAGAATAAAACTCCAAGTCTCACCTGTCATTCAAGTTCCCTTTCCTGCCTGTCCTCCCACCTTATATAAGGGACTTGAGAATTTGAGGATTTTTGTATCCCCAGGGGTCATGGAAGCAACCTACCATGCATACCAAAGGAGGATTATACTATTGAGAAAGAAAGAGAAAGCAAAGTTTTCAATAATCATCTAGGTCTGTAGATGTTTATCAGTTGGAGAGATGTTGCTGGAATCTTACCCTATGTAAATCTTGTGCTCTAATCAATCTGGACTTCCAGATGTCTCCCAAACATAGGAGTACACATCCTGCTTCCAGGCTCTGGCCATGCCTAGAATGCTATACTTAGATCGCAGATGAGGGAAAACCCATGAAGCACCAATGCAAGAAATGCCTATTGCCAACTTTTGAGGGATGGTGAGTCATGCCATTGATTTCCTCATGTATGTCACCATGGCTCCTACCAGATGGGAAACGAACCAGACCTTCATCTTGGCCATAGCTGACTAAACTGAAGGTCAGTTCTGCAGCCCCGAATAACCACAGTCTGGCTGGACATCTGGGAGGTGAACTACCTCTGGGAATGCTTGGCCTGAAACTCTGTCCAATAGGGGAGCTCTGCATTTGATGGCGGCCAACAAACCCAAACATGTCCTCTGTTTGAGAAGTAAAGGCAAAAGGGGTGAGGAGAAGCAGCTCAGGTTCTAGTGGGAACAAGTGAGTTGTGGTTTCAGATCTCCTCCAGCCCCTACATTCCAATCTTAGCTCCTGCCACATTTCTAGGTATTCTTGCAACGAACTCCCAATTATCCCAAAGATAATACAGACATGCATTTGTCTTGCAGGCCTCAACCACTTAGTCAAGTGCCTTCTCACCAGTCTCTAAGACTTGTGTACCAAGATGCTGGTTGAAACAGTGTGTAAATAGTAAATTTAACCAGCCAATATTAACGGGCCTGTTTTTATTTATCATATTTCTTCATCAGTTGTAAGATATATCCCAAGCTCAGAGACAAAAAATATCAACAAAAGAAGCCACAGTGGTTATGTCATTCATTGTTGCAACATGCGAAAAAATGTGCATTTTAGAATGAAAGAACTAAGATATGGTGTAAACAGTGGGATGTTTTGCAGCTAGGACAGGTAAATGGCACAAGATGGGGCCGTGGGTGGGGGCACGGAGGCATTTCCTTCAGAACAAGGAGGGGGGAGAGTGGAGCAATGATTCCACCCATGGGGCTACACCTCAAGTTGCCACAAATGGAGATGTTACTGAGCCCGTGTGCCACAACTATTTAAGACCGGGCACCTAGAGCCAGTGCTCCGCAACGAAAAGCCACTGCAATGAGAAGCCTGCAAACCGCAGCAAAGAGTAGCCCCCGCTCGTCGCAACTGGAGAAAGCCCACGCGCAGCAACGGAGATCCAACGCAGCCAAAAATAAATTTAAAAAATTTTAAAAATCCAAAAAGCAGCAGGAGTATGAGGGAGAGGAGCAATAGGCCACATCAGCTTGGTACTAGATGCTTTTACCTGTGGTATCTTATCTTGACAACAACCCTAGGAGTTCAGTGTTTTCTCATTTTACAAATGTGAAAAGAGGCTCAGACATTAAATAATTTGTCTAAGGACGCTGTCACGTCTGTGCGTGAAAAGTAGAATTAATTTTAAACCAGGTAGAAGACATATGTGTATATGTTTTAGTGTTTTTATAACTTTTTTGTGTGTCTAAAATATAATACTCTCTTAAGTGGGCCTAGCAACCTGTTTTACTGCCCCTGTTCTTTGGGACACCTTGTGTTCAGTGACAGCTTAAAAATCAATTCTATAAATAAAGGAGTTAAGGGAAGTATTTACTGTCTGTTATCTCCACAAGCTGACTATTAGGAAAGAAGGAATTTCATCATTCCAGCAACATCTCGTATGTGCACATATCCAACGGATAACATCTATAGCCCTAGATGATTATCCAAAACTTTGCTTTCTCTTTCTTTCTCAATACTCCATCTCTCCCTCAGTATCCTCAGGTGGATTGCTTCCAGGACCCCTGGGGATACCAAAATCTGCAAATGCTCCAGTCCCTTAGGTAGAAATGGAGTATTATGTGCATAGAACCTGACATCCTCCCTTATATTTTAACTCGTCTCTAGCTTACCTTTAATGCCTCACACAATGGAAACGCTATGTAAATAGCTGCGGGGAAGTAGGTTGGGAGGGTGGCAAATTCAAGTTTTGCTTTTTGGAAATTTCTGGATTTTTTTTTTCTTTCTGGTATTTTCTATTCTCCACTGGTTGAATCCGCAGCTGCCGAGGAGGATGGATTGTATAGACTCTGGCTTCACATTAGCTATAGGTTTGCCTAGATTTAAGCAAGGTCAAATTTGCAAAAAAAGATATTGTGGCATAGTTTTTTTTTTTTTTTTCTTGCGTTATGCGGGCCTCTCACTGTCGTGGCCTCTCCCATTTGCGGAGCACAGGCTCCGGACGCGCAGGCCCAGCGGCCATGGCTCACGGGCCCAGCCGCTCCGCGGCATGTGGGATCTTCCCGAAACGGGGCACCAACCCGCGTCTCCTGCATCGGCAGGCGGACTCTCAAGCACTGCGCCACCAGGGAAGCCCTGTGGCATAGTTTTTAAACAAAGCTTTAAAATAAGAAGTGTGTGCACAGGGAAGGGGGCATTTTCAATAGAATTCCTTAAATACAACAGTCCTGGCCATTTATAAAGTGAGTTAAACTTTTAAGGATATGTTTCCTAAAGCCTGGCGTGAAAGAAAGTGCAAGCTTTGGAGCCAGACTAAACCTGACTCTGAATCATGCCAGTTGTGTGGCACTATAAAGTCACCTAACTTTGCAGGGCCCGTTTTGTCCTCTGTAAAATGGGGACAATTATAAGTACCTTACGGGGTGTTCATAGGTCTGAAATTTTAAACAGTACTGTGCCTGCATACAGTCGTCACCCAATAAATGGTGATTACTATTGCAGGGCGGGGGGCTGGTTTTGGTCCAGGGCCCAGCACGCCTCATCACCTCTCCCTGCTCCCTCTGGGGCATTCAAAAACTCTCTCAATTACGTTCCACATTTATGTGCAGGATAAGATGTTAAGTAAGCCAAGGCCTTTCGGTAGTTTACAAACCGACTAACAACACCGTACACGAATAACAATTTCCATGGTTTTCTGATTTTTTGTTTTTTGTTTTTTTGGCGGGGGGTAGAGGAATTGGCACCATAGGGAGGCTGCGCTCTCTTTTTACAGACTTGGGACCTCGGAGAGGTGTAGCATCTGGCCAAAGGCCACGGGCACCGCGGCCTCTAGAGGTTTCCCGGGTCTCCCGCCACGGGACGGGGCGGCCGAGTCGTCCATGTCGTTTTCTGGAAACTCTCTGGGACGAGGGAGGCGGCGTCCGCCCGCGTTTTCGATGCCGAGGCGACCACACTTACCAGTGCGAAGTGCACCAGGGCGTCGAAGCAGAGCCAGGCTAGCGCCCCGCGGTCCGCAGCCCCCAGCCCGCGGCCCAGGCGCAGACCCAAGGCGCAGCCCACGGCCAGCAGCGCGGCGCACAGCAGCAGCGAGCCTCCAGCCGCGGCGCCCACTTCCCAGCCGCCACGCATGCTTCCTGCTCCCGGCGCCGACTGCGGGGCACTAACAGCCAGGATTGCCCGGTGCGCCGGGAGAGGCGGGGCGGCG